CCCCAAAACCCCAAAACCCCAAAACCCCAAAACCCCTTCTTGTGATAAGCCAATTGGAATTATTTAAAATAATGGAAAAATTGGAGAACGAAAATGAATTTAAACAAGCCTGTCTGGATTACCATAAAGGCCTTGTTCACGGAAAGTATGAAGTTATCCCAAACAAGCCAATGGATGGACAGAAGGATCTTAGTCTGGCTTATTCACCAGGAGTTGCCTATCCATGCCTTGAAATCGAAAAAGATCCAAGCACTTCTTTCTATCTTACTAATAGAGCAAACTCTGTCGGACTCTTCACTAATGGAACCTCAGTCCTTGGGTACGGAGACATTGGTGTACTAGCTGCAAAGCCAGTCATGGAAGGAAAGGTAGTCATCATGAAGCTCCTCGGAGACCTTGATTCTCTTGATATTGGAGTAGATACTAAAGATCCAGATGAATTTGTCAATGCCCTAGCACTCCTTGAGCCGTCATTTGGAGCTTTCAATTTGGAGGATATCAAAGGTCCTGAATGTTTCTACATTGAAGAGGAACTACAGAAGAGAGTTGGCATCCCAGTCATGCATAGTGGTCAGCACTCCTCATCATGCGTTATCACTGCGGCTCTTATTAACGCATGTGAAGTGAATGGAAAGAAGCTAGAAGACCTCAAAATCGCAGTTTCTGGAGCTGGAGCTTCAGGAATATCTATTGCTAAACTTCTTCCAGAATTTGGTGTGAAGCAAGAGCATATCCTTGTCTGCGACTCAAAGGGTGTCATTTATAAGGGAAGAGAAGAAAACATGAACAAATATAAGGAATCCATAGCAGTTGAGACTGAAGCAAGAACACTCGAACAAATTGTTGATGGAGCTGATGCGTTCATCGGACTCTCATTTGCTAATCTTTTAACACCTGAAATGCTCAAAACAATGGCTAAGGATCCTATCGTGTTTGCATTAGCAAATCCTACCCCAGAGATCGATCCTGCTTTGGCCAGAGAAACCAGAGAAGACATTATTATCGCTACTGGACGTTCAGACTATCCAAATCAAATTTTGGATGCTATGATATTCCCATTTTTTTTTAGGGGTGCATTGGACGTCGGCGCAAAATCTTTTAATCTTGAAATGAAGAAAGCAGCTGTCCAAGCTGTGGCAAAAGTAGCCAGAATGGAAGTACCTCAACAAGTAAAGGATGCTTACTCCAACCAAGATATGGAATTTGGCAAAGACTACATCCTGCCAACTCCATTCGATCATAGACTTTTGATGGAGGTATCATTTGCCGTTGCCAAAGCTGCTCATGATTCAGGTAACACATTCAAGCCTTTTGAGGACTGGGACCATTACAAAGAGAAACTCGACAAGAGAGTTGAAGAGAAGAGAGTCTACATTGAGGAGCAGGTGGAGGAAGCCAAACTGAGATATAAGAATATATACAAGCAGATCAGACCTGACGCTACTGAGATCACTCAATAAGATTGCATTCTATTAATAATATAGGAAAAGGGGTTTTGGGGTTTTGGGGTTTTGGGGTTTTGGGG